AGAAAGAATCTCAGAACTCAAAGACCAGAATATGGAATTAACCTGATCTGTAAAAAACATAGAAAGAAGACTCAGAAAGAAAGAACAATGCCTACAAGAGATCTACAATTATATCAAGAGGCTGAACCTACACCTGATTTGTATCCTAGAAGAAGAAAGGGAAATGGAAAAAACGTGGAACAAGTATTTCAGGAGGTATTCCAAGTAAACTTTCCCCAATTCACCAGAGATGTGACCAGCATAGCACAAGATAAACAGAGAACCCCCACAAGACATCAAATGAAAACACCATTCCCTAGACACATAGTAATACACTGACATAAAGTAGACAAAAAAGAAAAAATCCTAAAGGCAGTAAGAGAGAAAGGTCAGACTACCTACCAGGGAAAACCAATCAGAACAGCAGCAGACCTATCGGCAGAGACACTACAGCAAGAAGGGACTGGAGACCAATATTCAAAGTCCTCACAGATAAGCAATTTTCAACCAAGAATCTCATACCCAGCTAAGCTCAGTTTCATCAGTGATGGAGAATTAAAATCCTTCCCAGACATTCAATCCCTAATAGATTATGCAGCTTCCTAATCAACTCTACAGGAGACATTTTAAAAGGTATTAAGCACAGAAAAAAGAAAGAAAAAGAATGAGCACATGCTTCTCAAGAGAACAGCAGGGCACAGAATCAATAGAATCAATAAAGAATACAGCACAACAACAAACTTGAAAACACACACATACATCAACCCCAAAGAAAAAGAAAATAAGCAAACAAACAAAAAAAAAAACTTTGTAGAACCTCACAATAGGGATAAACAATCACATTACAATAATCAGCCTGAATGTGAATGGACTAAAAGCACCACTGAAAAGACATAGAATGACAAACTGGATAAGAAACCATGATCCCATTATTTGCTGCAACCAGGAGACTCATCTCACTATAAGGGATCACACATACTCAATGTTAAACAATGGAAAGTGAGTTTCTGGCAAATGGATCACAAAAGAAGGCAAGAGTCATAATCTTATATCAGACAAAACAATCTTTAAGTTATCAAAAATTTTAAAAGATACAAAAGGATACAACTAATGATAAAAGGTTCAATCCAACAAGATATATCCATCTTAAACATAAATGCAACCAGTACAGGAGCACCAGCATTTATAAAGCAACTAAACTACTAAGTGAACTAAAAAAAGATATTGACTCTAACACTATTATAGCAGGGGACTTAAATCTCCCACTAACAACCCTAGATAGATCATTGAGGCAAAAAATCAACAAAGAGATCCAGATCTTAAACTTGACAGTCAACCTAATGTACTTAATAGATACCTACAGATTATTCCACCCAACAACCACAGAATATACATTCTACTCATCACCACATGGAACGAACTCTAAGATCTATCACATCCTTGGCCATAAATCAAGCCATAAATAAATTCCATAAGGTTGAAATCTTGCCATGCACCTTTTCAGATAACAGTGGAATAAAAAATAAATATCAATACCAACAAATTTCCCCAAAGCCCACAAAGACATGGACATTAAACAGCATGATGCTGAACAACTACTGAGTCAAAACTGAAATCAAGTAATCCTCCTGCCTTGGCCCTTCAAATCACTGAGAATATAGTCATGAGTGTTAGGTCCAATACACATTACTTTTAAGTTAGAACATATGATATAGGAGTTTGAGACTAGCCTGGACAAGGTGGCAAAAGCCTACCCCTACAGGAAAAACAGGAATTGGTTGAGCATGGTGGCATGCACCTAAGGTCAAACTACTTGGGAGGCTGAGGCGGAGGGATCACCTGGGCCCAGGAGATCAATGCTGTAGTGAGCCATGATGGTGCCACTGTACTCCAGTGTGGGTGACAGAGTGAGACTCTTGACTCAAAAAAGAAAAAAGACACAGAAACAAAGAACTGAGTATCACATGTTCTCACTCATAAGCAGACCTTGAACAATTATCATAATACTTTAAGAGAAGGATTGGCAGTAGTGGGAAACTGTTGGGAGTAGGGAGAGGTGGATTGGCAGTAGCGGTAACCTACCAGGGGGACACACCTCATCAACAAGTGTACCTGCATAATGAACATTTGTGTACCAAACCCTGAATTGTACCCCACATCTTTAAAATTAAAAGAAAAAGAAAATAGATGAAGGGATTTTAAAAAACCAGAAATCAAAGCAGAAATTAAAAGATGACCAGAAATAAATGAAAATGAAGAAACAACTTACCAAAACCTCTGGGATGCCATGAAAACAGTTCTAAGAGGGGAATTTATATCTCTATGAGCACACATCTAGAAAATGGAAAGATCACAAGTTGAGAGCCTAACAGAACACCTAAGGGAGCTGGAAAGAGAAGACCACCAAAACCCCAACTTTAGCAGAAGTATCCAAGTCACCAAAATAAGAATCTAAATATGGGACATAGAAGACAAAAATATCACAGAAAACATCAACCAAAAAAAGTTGGATTTTTGAAAGGATTAACAAGATTGATGGACCTCTAGCCAGAATGACCAAGAAGAAGAGAGAAAAACCCAAATAAGCACAATCAGAAATAAAAAGATCAAATGATAACTGATCCTGAAGAAATATAAAAGATTACCACAGATTACTATGTACACCTATATGGAAATAAACTTGATAGCCTAAATGATATAGAGGACTTTCTGATATCACACAACCTCCCCAGATGGAAACAAGAAGACACTGAGAAGTGTCTGTTCATATCTTTTGCCCATTTTATAATGGAGTTGTTTATTTTTTTCTTCTCAGCATGTTTGAGTTCCTTGTAGATCCAAGATGTTAAACCTTTGTCAGACCTGGAGTTGGCAAATACTTTTTCCCAGTCTGTAGGCTGTCTCCCTGCTCTCTTGATGGTTTCTTCGGCTTTGCAGAAGCTTGTCAGTTTAATGAGGTCCCACTTGTCTATCTTATCTCTTATGGCCTGTGGGTTTCGGGTTTTGTTCAGGAATTGGATGCCAGTTCCAATTTCCATGAGGGTATGTCCTTCATTTTCTAAGGTTCTTATGGTTTGAGGTTTTACATTTAGGTCTC